ATAATATTACAGAATTTGCATATGTTTTTTTTATTCTTGCCAAGTTTAGGGTTAAGAATATCATTTATAAAAAATCATCTCATTTTCATCTAGATAAAATTGATTTTATCTTTATCTATATCTAGATATATTTTAATTTATCATTATCTATCTCTATCTAGATATATTTTGAGTTCATATATCTTATCTATATCTAGATACAAAAAAATTATTTAAGCACAACACTGGCTGTGAGTGTATGTATCTCGTGCATATGTATAAGTATATTGCGGCACCCTGTACGCGGTAGGGACCAGTATGACCAATTATATTAATTTTTATTGAATAAGAATAATTGAATAATTGATATCACAAAATGTTTTGGATTTTTCTTACTGTTGTTTTTACAATTCCAAAAAGAACAACTCTTGTGTGAAGTCATTTTATAATGGTTTGTATACAAAACGAAACACTTCATATACAAAATATTTGGAGAAAAATAATCATAGAGAGATATTAATAGCAAAATATCGAAAAAATTATATAATACCCCTCCCCCCCCCCACACCCACACACACTCAATAATTAAAAAAAACATGAATTATTTATTTATTTTTAGTTCAGATTTTTTGTATAAATATTCAATTAATAATTTAGGTCATTTATTATTTAAAAAAACATTGTTTTGAATAAAGGAAGGATATTTGAGTAGAAATAAGAATTTAAATAGGCAACTTATTTACACGATAGCTGGATAGGCAACCACTACGATTTCGGGGTGCCATGTCGACATTTGTTATCATGTCCCGTATTGTCATATAGAGTATTTGTTGTTAAAATTTGATTTAGTTATTGGTATTTACTATTTACTATTTAACTATTTGCCATTAATTATGAATTATGATGGCTGTATCTATTACTGACCATTAGTACATAAATTGAGTATTGAGTTGGAACTTGCTACATCTTCGTTCTTGGTCACTCTGAAATTCTTAAGATACAAAAAAAAAATTTAAGAAATAAGAAATTCAGAAAATTAAATTTCTAATATTCAGAAATAAGAAACCATTATTCAAAAATTGTATTATAAGTGTAATAATATATAATATTGTTTTTATTATATACTAACATATAGATATTAAACTTCCATTACATATTTTCTTGTTCTACTAATTGGTGTATAAAATGAATTCAAAACAACTGACGTAAGTTATGCTCAAAACCATTAATTTTCATATTAATTTGTAGACCAATATGTATAATTTTGCTACATTTATTTTTAGATGCTGGAAACAATTCTATTGTAAGTTAGATAAGTTGAATGTTAACCACTGGCGGTCCCACGGGTGCAGCCAATGCAGCCTGTGCTGCACCTGACATTTCAACCGCGCTTCGCGTTTTTTTTTATCGGTTGTCATCATAATATTAATTATAATTATTATTCATAACTCTTAAGGTTGCCGGTTGGCATATTATAATTATTTAAACTAGCTGTACAACGTACGTGAAACTCGGGGGCCGTAGATAAGAATTGGAGATAATGCTTGGCGGGAATGTTTAAAAGTTTAAACTTGAGATAATAGACATTATATTATCACTATTCGTTATCATTAATTTGTGCAATTTGTGAATTTGAGATATTAATTATAACTTTTGCTGTATTTTAATTTTGATCTTAATTTATTAATTTACTAACCAATTTATCATTAATCATTATGAGTAATAAGACTACCAAGAAGTTAAAATCCTTACGTGATTTCTTTAAGCCGAAACCTAAAACTGGTAAGTTTAAATTAAGTAGTTAATACTTTAAAAGCTTATATAATATATATATATCTGTATATTATGCAATGATATATTCTATATCTATTCTTAACTATTAACTATTAATATTATTATTAAAAATTAAGTTCTCTTTTATTTCACATTTAGATGACATTGATCAAAACCATCCAATGCCACCATGTACAAGTGATACTGTTGGAATCACACAAGAAGTGTCAGAAGGAACTGGTATGAATACAATAACTTATGACTACAAATTATTTTTGTTTCAATGTATTTAATTATTATTAGAAATATTAAAAACAAATCAAAATCATCTAACGCCACCATGTACAAGTGAAACTGTTGGAATCGCACATGAAATGTCAGAAGGAACTGGTATGAATACAATAACTTATGACTACAAATTATTTTTGTTCCAATGTATTTAATTATTATTAGAAATATTAAAAACAAATCAAAATCATCTAACGCCACCATGTACAAGTGAAACTGTTGGAATCGCACATGAAATGTCAGAAGGAACTGGTATGAATACAATAACTTATGACTACAAATTATTTTTGTTTCAATGTATTTAATTATTATTAGAAATATAATTTTTAGTTTTATAGTTCAGTATGTTTCTTTTTATACAACTAATTTATTGTGATTTGTGATATCTATGTTGCCTAGAAGTATCTAACTACTTTTTTACATGTAAGTTTATAAAATACTAATTTAACATGTTTATGTTTATTGTAGTTAACTGTTAAGTTTATTTTTGTGAATTGTGATAATCTTGCTATTAAAAATAGTATTGCAAATACTAATTTAACATTTACTAATAAAAATATTATGCATTTAAAATTACCCATGTATAAAAAAAACTATTTTTTACCCTTTTCAGTAAATTCGACAGATATTGATGACCCTGCTCGCCCTTTTCCAAAGAATTCTATAGATTTTAAAGAAAGAATTAAAAGAGGAGCTTATCGTCCAATTCTGCCCCTATATCCTTGTACTCTACAAAATGGTAGAAAACTATTATTTCATAAGCAATGGTATAATGATCATGACTGGCTTGAATATAGTCCTTCTTTATATTTGGCATTCTGTTTTCCATGCAGAGCATTTAAAGGAAATGAGGTAAATAGTAGTCGGACTGAAGAAACATTTTTAAATAATGGGTTTAAAGGCTGGTATAGAGCAAATAAAAGTTTTTTAAATCATAAACTCTCCAAATCTCATCTTAATTCTACTATAGCTTTATCTGCATTTTTAAACTCAAAACCAATTGATCAAAGCCTTGATGAAAGCAGAATTGTTTTAAATAAGATACGGGAAGAATAACGCTTGAAATATAGAAAAATTATCGCACGTTTAATAGATATTTCTATATGTTTGGCTAAAGGTGGAATGGCATTCCGTGGACATGATGAAAGTCACGAAAGTTGTCAGCAAGGAAATTTTAAAGAATTAGTAAATCTTTTAGCAAAGTATGATACTACTTTAAAAAATCATTTAGTAATGGGACCTAAAAATGCACAGTATGTCAGTAATCATATTCAAAATGATCTTATTTTTTCATTACATAACGTTGTGTTCAAACAAATAAAATCTAGTATAAATGATTGCAAAATATCAATTATAGCAGACGAAACATCTGATGTAGGACACCATGAGCAGTTATCTATAGTCATAAGACATTTTGATAAACAAACAAATAGACCAATAGAAACTTTTGTTGCACTTAGGCGAATGAAATCAGTTGATGCTCAATCTATATTTGATGCAATAACAAGTGTATTACTTGTATTACTTCAATTATCAAAAAACTGGACATCTGTAATATCAGTCTGTTTTGATGGTGCAAGTACCATGTCTGGTGGTATTGGAGGAGTACAGGCAAAGTGCAAAGTTGAGAATAAAAATATTCTATATGTCCACTGCTATGCTCACTGTTTAAATTTGGCCCTAGTGGATTCTGTATGCGAAAAGGATAATAGATTCAAAAATAATAGATGTATATTCAATTTTTTTGGTACAATTCAATTCATTTATAGTTTTATCGAAGGTAGTCCTACAAGGCATGCCATCTTAGAAAAAATAATTGCAGCATCATTCGGTCAGAAATTTGCTACCTTGAAATCATTATCTACTACAAGATGGGCTTGTAGGGCCGAAGCAGTAACTTCTGTTAAAAACCATTATGCATCTATTTTAACTGCTATTGAAGAAATTTGTGAAAAATCCAATGTTCCAGAAATGAGGGCTAAAGGGCTTTTGGTTCAAATGAAATCATTTGAATTTATTTTTGGACTTGTTATGATGCAACCAATCTTGCAAATGATCCTAAAAATTAGCAAACTGTTACAATCAAATAACCTAGAGTTGTTGACTGCTGTTGAGGTACTTAATTCATTAAAATCCTCATTGGTTTCAATGAGAAATAATTCTAATAGTTTTGAAGATATTTACCAAAATTGTTTAGACATGTGTGAAGAGTATGAAATACATACCCCAGATGTAAAAAGAAGAAAAGTATCAACAAAAATTGATACATCACAAAATCAATATTTTTTTGAAACCAAATCAGATGAAATGAAAGTTACCGTATTTAACACAACATTAGATAAACTGATAAATGGCATTGATTCTAGGTTTAATCAGGAATCATTAAAAATCATTAATTCAATTGGAAATATGGTTAAATTGAATACTGGTGAAAATATATCATATCAATGTTTAAAAGAACAATTTGGAATATGTGAAGATGATTTGTGTACAGAAATAATATTATTAAAAAATATGACCGATATACCAAATGGTGGAACTTCAGTTAAAACAATACATGAATGGTTAGATTGGCTACAAGACTCTAACAAAAGTGAAATTTTTTCTAACTTTTCTAAAGCATTACAGTTATTTGTAACAATACCTGTTACAAGTTGCAGTTGTGAACGCAGCTTCTCAAAAATGACCATTGTTAAAAGTAAACTTCGAACAACTATGACCCAAAAAAGATTGGATTCACTGATGTTGTTATTTGTTGAACAACATAGAACTAATAATGTGGATATTGACGAGGTCATCGAAGAGTTTAATGTACTAAATGACACGACACGCCGAATGGTGTTATAACTTTAATTATAATATCATTATTCATTTATCATTATTACAATTAACTGCTTATATAAATAAAATTGGGGACAAGGAAGAAACCTCTACGCGGTGTCCCCTAGTAACGGTGTTTTCCAAACACCGGCTAATTCTTCCAAACCCAGGCGCAACCTATCTCTCAGTATAATAACAATGTCTGGCGGTCATAAAAAACCGCGCCTAAAACGGCCCTTATCAGGGCCAGCATTGACGATTGTATCGATAAACATCGAAGGTATTACGAGAGTAAAGGAAGAACTTCTATCTACCATTTTTAAATCAACATCATGCGATATTATGTGCGTCCAAGAGACCCATCGAGACCAGACTCTTAATGCACCAAGTATATCTGGAATGAAACTAGCAGCGATAAGGCACCATAGAAAACACGGTAGTGCCATCTTCACAAAACCTAATATGATCATCCAGTCAGTTAAAATATACGAACAAAACGACATCGAATTTATCACAGTGCATTTACCGAACATCTCAGTCTCTTCAATATATAAACCACCAAATTCTCCTTTCATAGCCCCTAGTCTTAAATCCGAAGACAGCCTACAACATAAACCTAACATAGTCATAGGTGATTTCAACAGCCACAGTTCAAGCTGGGGCTATTAGGAGACAAACGATGATGGCGAAGCAGTAGAAATCTGGGCACAAGGCGAAGATATGGTACTGATTCACGATAACAAATTACCTCCATCCTTCAACAGCGGTCGATGGAAGAAAGGATATAACCCTGACCTTATATTTGTCAGTGATTCTATCAGTCAACTATGTACCAAAAAGATGGGAGACCCCATTCCAAACACACAACATAGGCCCATAATTTGCCAGATTGAGGCTGCAGTGAGACCTAATATTGTCCCATTCCAAAGGAGATACAACTTCATGAAAGCAAAGTGGAACCTTTTCTCAGAAGATCTCGATTCAAGTATAGAAAATCTCGAACCATTATCGGAACACTATGAATCCTTTGTAGAAAAAGTAAAATACATATCCCGGAAACACATACCAAGAGGATGTAGGACACATCATATACTTGGACTATCAAGTGAAATCACGGACAATTACAACACATATATCAACCTGTTTGAAAATAATCCCTTCGAAGAACAAACCAGAAATAAAGGGGAAGAGCTCACGAATGCCATTGCACAGGAAAAAAGGAATAAATGGCATGAGCTTTTAAATAAAACAGACATGAAACATAGTAGTAAAAAGGCATGGGGCCTAATTAAAAGATTAAACAGTGATCCTACTAGCGCGAAAGGACTGTCTAACGTCACTCCCGATCAAATCGCACACCAATTACTACTAAATGGTAAACCCCAAAGACTTAAACAAGAAGATAAACCTAATAAAAGAATAATACGAAACAAAGAAAAAGAAGGAAACCTCCTCAGCCGTCCTTTCTAAGAGGATGAATTGAACATAGCTATAGAGACAATGAAACTTAGGAAAGCAGCTGGACTAGATAATATTTTTGTCTAACAGATCCGCAATTTTGGGCCGAAAGCCAAACGCTGGATACTCGCTCTATATAACGAAATAAGAAACCGGAAAAACATACCGAAAATATGGAGGAAAACAAAAATTATAGCCTTATTAAAACCAGGGAAAGATACGGATGATCCGCTAATATTCCGCTGTAATCCCCACGTCCTAAGAACTACGGCATTAGCCTTATGTTTTTCAGCGGGAGAATATGCCAGTCCAGTATGGGGTAGGTCAGCACATACTAAAAAGGTCGATGTCGCACTAAACGAGTCCTGCCGACTCATAACTGGTTGCCTAAAAAATACGCCGGTAGAACAATTATATATACTTTCAGGAATAGCCCCTCCGCCAATAAGAAGATCCACGCAAGCAGACTGGGAGAGAACGAAAATAACAGCAGATCCACGACACCCTATGTACGGTATAACTCCACAACTCCCTCGCCTTAAATCCATGAAGAGTTTCATGAACCATACAAAAGCCATCTCATCAACACATCCTGAAGTAGAAAGAACGACCAGATGGAGAAATGAGATAAGCAGTACCTCCAGCTGGGTGCCGAACGAGTCGCTCCCATCTGGTCATAATGAAACATGGCCGGTTTGGCGAACACTAAACAGACTTAGGACAGGAATTGGACGAACGAAAGACAATCTAATAAAATGGGGATTGCTAGATAGCACAGACACCTTGTGCATATGTGGAGAAGTACAGACAATGCAACACATTATCACATGCACAGCTTGCTCCCAAACCTGCACCCCAGAAGACATTCACAAAGGCACAAGCCAAGGAATTAACGTAGCCCGCATCTGGGCAGAAATAATATAAATCCACCATTAACGTACCTTTCTATTTTACCTTATTTATTAATATTGTGAAATTTTTATTTTAAAGTTAATTTTATTTATCTATTTGTTTTTTAATTTTTTTAACAACTTATATCATTATTATTATTACTGTTACACTATGCGCCTGACACGAATAAAAAAAAAAAAATATAAATAAAATAAAATTGTATAACATTGTATATTTGTGTGTGCGTGTGTGTGTGTGACGTGTGTGGTAATCATATATAGGGATTTACCAGTTACCTATGTATATTCTGTAATAAATGTGTAATTAAATGTGCAGAATGTGCTGCACCTGAAGTAAAATCCTGGGACCGCCTATGATGTTAACTATACTGATGAATCAATTGAATCTATGATATATGATGGTTTGGATGATTTGAAAAAAAGCATACTCAAATTGCATTCTTCATCAAGATTAATGTTTTATAAAAATGATAAATCAGATACAGAATACTTATATCCCATACTATCCCAATTACTTGTAATAATTATACATTATTTTATGATCTTTCATGATCTAGGATACATCTAAATAATTATATTAATTTTGTTTAGTTTATAATTGAGCAAGACACTAAAATTGTTTACGACACCAATGATGAGTTTCTTTGTCAAAATGAATTGAATACAACTATGACTGAACATAAATTAGGTACATAATGTTTGTGTAGATATTTGGAAGTTTTACAATGAAGAAGTGTTATTTTTATTTCGTTCGTCAAAATTTATTCTCACTGCTGCAAAAATTCAAAACTGTCATTATTCTGTAAGTATAATCACTATTAATAACCAATAGGTATTTAAATAATTTTTTTTCAATCTATCTTTAATTACAAAGTTGTATTATTTCAATTTTTAGACTATACCTATGTAAGAAAATTGTCCGTAAACAAAACTGGAAAGAGTGGTATATTTCTCTATGAGAACAACTTTCATATGTTTTGATACTATTATTTATGTTTATAAATAAAAAAAACACAAGCATTTATTAACATTTGTTTTAATTCAACAAATTGAAATTTTGCAATTGATGGTGTTAACATCACTCAGAGTGTATCAAATTACAAAAGATGATTTTAATACTTGGATTACTAATTTCATTGCAAGTAATTATTACACGTATACATATATTTAATGATCTAATTTTAAATTGTTTTTTATTTATACTCAATAATAATTTATTTTTATATCAAGTACATGCTCTACACCTTAATAATAAGCTACACAATATGTATGTACCTATTCCATATTAAGAAAAAATCAACTGTTAATCATTTTATTGATTTTATTCAAAAATCTCAACTTTGCTACGGTGGTGAAAGAAGATTGGGTTTTATAATGATCCTTGTCAAAAGATTTGTCCAGCAGTTCCAATTTTATATTGCATTTTCAAATATTAATATTTTACATACTAATAACTCATTTAAAAAATTAAATATCTAAAAAAAACCAACTAGAGAACACAGATAATATTTTCTTATATTTATAATTGATAATAGGTCGATTCACTCTAATATCTTAGCTAATAAAACAAAATTGGAACCATATGACAAACATTTTGGTATTTTATGCAATAGTGAGATGAAGACACATTCAGGTATGCAGTCCTCTTAATTCTTTTGACTCAAAAATGTGCAATGCAATTACAGGACAACATTTTGTGTAACTTATTAAAAATACCATCATACTTTCTAATTTCTAGTAATATTCTTTGAAACACAATGTTTTTCAGTGTCACGGTGATGTTAAAAAAAGCCGTATTGTAAAACTAATTATTGTTTCTCACTCCACTTAAAATCAAAAAAAATCTTTTATTTTATAAAAAATAAAAGTAGCTAGTATTTATAAGTTTTATAACATTTTATTTGACTTGGTACTTACAGGATAACAACTTTGGAAAAAATCAGACATTGGATTATGATTATAATAACTTACAAAAGGTGTATTTTTCTTTTAAGAGTCAGATCTCAAATTTAAAGACACTACATTCATTACAAATCATTACATTATTTTTGGTGTGAGTAATTGATTATTAATCAACTATTATTTATAAATTCATTTTTTTCAACATAACTTTGTTTTGGTTTATTTATATTATATATATCAGGAAATAGAATTATATTTGGTCAACTAATATAGAATTCAATGAAGCTGATAAAGTTACTCAGATGATACAACCTAGTAGTGAATATAGTGTTGTGATTATGAGTTGGACACTCCTTCGCCTTAAAGGAAAATTTGAAATAAAAAATATTCAAAAATTAGAAAGTTATACTGAAGCCATGAGCGCATTAAAAGTGTGGCCATCTTTATTAGAAATGTGTCAGTCACCTACTATTAAAGTATATAAACATTTTTGTTAATCATTTTATTTTCAAAATACTTTAATTCTAAGTACCTGTAACTATAATCTATTACTTATATTTAAAATTTTTTTTATATTAATTTTAGGATCATCCAATAATAGACCAATTAGGAAGAGTCTTATGTGAAAACCTTATCATTGAAAGTATTGAATTGGATGTATTTGAATTGGTTGACTATAATTCAATTATTTTTAAGCTTTGGTCTCATTTATTAAAAAAAAACCCTAGATTATTAATAGACACAATAGACAACTTG